CACACACACACACACACACACACACACACCAGCTGATGTGACAGCACATCTGTAGCGTGTACACGAAAACGCATGAAGGTACGGCCCACGTGCACACGCTCCATCGAGAGGAACGCGCGCGGGTGAAATGAACTTGTTGTGCCAGTCACTTTGCACACTTTGGATCCAATTTTCCAACAATTGCAATCGTCTGAAACCCGACGCCAAATTTACTCTTCCTCCCCGCTTCCTTCCAGAAGCTCTAATGCGTCCGGGCGCGCGCGGACCCCGATGAGATTTGCATCGAGCGCAGAAACACTCAAAGCATCAAAGAACAACATCAAACTCGCGACTATTGGCTGACAGCATGGCGAGATGATGAGTGTGGCCAGGAGGATGTAACCCTAACCTGGAAGCAAACGCACACGCACGCACGTGCACGCACGCGCACGCACGCGCGCGCGCGCACGCGCACGCCAACCAAGAAGACGAGGAGGTCAGTTGATGTGGAGATGGAAACGGTTCCCTTTTGTTGACCCTTCGTCAAGTGCCATTCGAGTGTTGATTGAATTCATTTGATGGTCAACAAATGGTCCAAAAACAAAAAACCAGCTTGACAATAGAGACGGACCAAAAACATGAACAAAAACAAAAGCGCAACACCAAAAGTCATCTACAACTAATATTGGCCCCCCCCCGCAAAAAAAAGCAAAACCGAGACAATGATCAACAAAGTAAAAGAAGCGAGATAAAAAAAATAAATAAACACCACTTCACCGACAACCCCCCACAAAATAAAATAAATATGAAAATGACATAAATAAGCTCAGAGCACCCCCTCAAAAAAAGTGGACGTCGTCTTTTTTTTTTTTTTTTTTTTTCCTCCACTTTTCCTCGGTTGCGCCGCTTTTCCTTGTCCTCGGTTGCGCCGCTTGTCCCCGTTTGATGTTTTCCGTCTTGTTGGCCTGCCGGCGGCCATGTTGTTGTTGTTGTTGTCGTGGGCGGCCAATCAATACGCAGGAATAAAAACGTAACCAAGCCAATCAATTAGGCTCACTTCATTTTCATAACTGCACTCAACGTTCTTGTCGCTGCGACAACAGCACCCCCCCCTCCCCAAACCCAGGTGTCGTGTTCGCGCTGATGGATGTTTGGAAGCTGCCGAGATCCTCTTACGTCTAAGAACTTTGGATCAATAACAATATTTGCCCCCTCGTTCATCCCCTCGAAAAGGCCCGCATTCATTTTTAATGGCGGCCAGCTAATACGCGGACAGATGCGGGCGAGGGCGGCCAGCGCCGGGTCGCTCTCGCCGGCTAATTGGCTCCTTGGCGCTGACACTCGATCTGCGTGATCCAATCAGACGCCGGCGTGGCAACGCGGCGAAAGGCGACACCCGGGAAGCGGACGGCGGCGGTGTCGACGGCCGCGCCGCCTTGCCGGGAAACAACAACGGGGGGGGGGACCGACAACAAACACGAACGAACGGCGGCCGGCGGACATCGAGCCGCGCGGCGGACAAAGACCGACCACGGGGAAATTAGTGGGCGGCTGAGGAAAAGAAAAGAGCAAGTGGAAACGCGCAAATAGCAAACGACGACGACAAAGCGACCTGCGGCTGGGAAACCCAAAATAAAACGAGCCGACGAAAGCACGAAAGACCAAAAAGATGGAAAACTCAACACGACAAAGCCAGCAAAATCAGCCTCCAAATGTCCAAAACGATCGATTAGGATAAATCAGGAGCAAAAAAAGAAAGAACCCAAAAGAAAAAGAAAGCCGCTGTGTTGAGTTTCCGAGGGGGGGCGCGTCGCCGTGGTGACATCGCGAGCGGTCAGCTGACTTGCCGTCCGACTTCGCCCCCCCCCTCGAGACCGACGTTAACGAGCGGTCGCTCGCCGA